GACGTCTCACCCCATTTTTTGGTAACAGTTCATCGGTAACTTGTAGAATCGAGAGTCGAAGATTTTCTATGTCTACTCCTTTTGCTCGTAAATTATCAATTTGACATTTATGCGCGTTAGACGTCGGGATCCCAACTTTCCCCTTATTTTTACGCAGGCTGTCTTATTGCTTTTTCTAGTGATACATGAGAGTTAAGACCCGTATTGCACCGTTCATAGTATGTATAAATAGCATTACTCGATGTATGCATTAATCGTCTTCGGTTTGTTGGGAAGACCGAAAAGACAATGTCTGGTTTAGGTGCCATCATCGGTCAACCATGCTTCATCCCCACATCGGGATTTAGTTGTTCATTACACAAAAGACGTATTATTGGGTGAGGAGTTAATGACATGCCATTGGTACGCAAAAGGCACGTTTGCCGATCTATCCTGGATGTGGAGTCGCAATGAGTGTAGGTTGATCTCTTTAAATTCGCGGCATTGTCCTGTCTCACTTTTTGAAATGGAGCAGTCTCGTATCCCCCCTCGCTGAATTTTATACAGTCACTTGGAATTAACATCCGACCGTCACCTGTAGACCTAAAGTAGTTCCAATGAATTTAAAATGCGGTGAAATTTCGAGGACGCTGCATCAACGCTCTAATTTTGCCTAAGAACGGCAGCGCATAGTCCCAGTCACAAGCAGTCTGAATTGGGTTAATACAATTTTTTCCCAGATCTTTGAATGACTACTTAAACCCCCGAAGAACTACTAGATCGCAACACGTTTGTCATGGTAATGTTTTTTTCTCTACGGCTCTATTTTCACTCGTGGGTTTCCTACTTCTGTCCCAGCTCAGTTAAACAGCTCACTTTAACGTCTTTTTGCTCCTGCTGACGCGTTGTTGTACCTTATCAAATAAATGTAGCCGGCGCTACTTTCACCCAATAGCGTAAAAGCGACGTCACTCGTCACTACCTTTCCGAGGAACGCCCTTCTTATGATTGGATAGCGGACTTTATGCCATAATAGTCTCTCTATGCGCG